TTCCAGCACCTCGGGCCCCGAGAGCTATGCATTTGCATGCGCGTCTGCCGGACTTGGAGCCGCTGGTGAGTGGCCTGGACAGGCCTGGGTTCCATTGCCGACACTCTCCTCACTTGCTGTGTGACCTGCAACAGATCCCTCAGCCTCTCTGGGCCTTTTTCTTGTACTGATAATACTATAGGATGCACATACCATAGTGTGATACTTCCAAGTTGACTGTGCACAGGCTGCTTTTCATTTAGGAGCTCTCTGAACCCTCCCGACAGCTTGGTGAGGTAGGTACTGTTATCCCCCTTTTCAGATGAAGCTGAGGTCAAGGTCATGTGGAGAGGAAGCTGTAGAACCAGGAATTTGAACCCAGGCCTTCTGGCTCCAGAACCTTTCCTCTTAATAACTGTGACTTACGAGGGTTTAACGTGTGCCAAGGCATAGTGCTCACTGCTGTACGAGTGTCATCTCACTTGCTTTTCACGCCCCCTCTCCTGGGGACAGTCTTATTATTGGTCCCACTTACAAATAAGAGAGCCCTTTGTTGAGGGACTCTGTCCTCCCAGAGGCAGTCGTACTTGGGCCTCCTGATTCTACTCAGAAGTTCTTCATGGCCCAGAGCCACCACCAGCACCCTCTGCCTTTCCTGCCCCCATCTCCTCGCTGCTTCCTGAATCTTGTTTCCCCAGAAATGTTGGTTGTCCTCCCAAACCCTGGCCTTTCTCTTTGGTCCTCCCCTGGACAACCCCCTCCAACACACACACATCAAACCTCTGTGACGTTGTCCCCTACCTTCCCCAACCCCAAAATAGCACATAGAGGCTTTCTGCATGTTGACAAGCCTTCATTTGTTTATTCATTGTCATGTTCCCATGAAATTGTTTGGAACAGATATTGTGTCTGTTTTATCTTCATGTTCCCAGCACGGGACAAGGGGCAGTGTAGGTGCTCAAAAAACATTTTATGAAATAAGTAAATTCAGGCTCTTTCGCAGGCACTTACTGAGGGCCAGGCATCCTGTTGGGAACTTTGCAAGCATTAGCTGATTTGTTTCTCATAATAGCAGCCCTGTGAGGGCACGAGGGACACCTGAAGTCGCAGTGCACTTTGGTGGCTGAACTCAAACCCCAGTCCTTTTCCTAAGGATTTCTAGTTCACACTTTCTAGTCTCTGTGGAAGCTGTAGAGCTCAGAGGATGGGAAGGCAGGCTTTGGAGGTAAATTACCCAGAGTTGAATCTTATTCTTCCTCTGATGAGCTGTATGCCATTGGGCTAGTTTCTTAACTTCTCTGTGCCTCAGTTTCTTCATCTATTAAAATAGGAGAACCAGGGCATTTCATTTGTTGTGTTTTTGTAAGCTAATATACCTAAAGAATTGAGGACAGTACCTAGAAAATACAAACTACTCAGCGCCCTAACAGTAATCATTGCTACTCACTCAGTGACAAACATTTACTGAAAGCACATACTTTTACACCCTCAGAATACAGGTCTGTGCCCTGGAAGGGCTCCGAGTCAACCTGTAGTATAGCAGCAAATAGTTACAGCATGTGCTGTAGCGGAGGAAATGTTGGCTGAGGCCTCTTCATCAGCGCCAGCCCTGTGCTTGGCACGTGGGATCCAGACCTGAAAAGGACCTCATTTCTGTCTCAAGGAGAGAGACTTGTGACAGGAGGTGGCCAAAGCAGAGAAGTTGGACTGGACAGTGGTTTCCAGCTTGGGCCCCAGAGTCTGGCACCCATGGGTTTCATCAGCTGGGACTCCTGCACTTCCTGGTGTGTGGCCATGGGCGGTGAGCTGTAACTGTCAAGGCTTCAGTTTTCTCATCTGTAGTCTAGGTTCATGTCAGTACCTTGTAGGGATGAAATGAGGTGATTCTCACAAAACACAGCACAGTGCCTGAAGGGTATTTACACTTAATAAAATGGTGGCTTTTGGTGAGAAGGGTGAGGGTAGGGCAGAGCAAGGGTTTGTGAGGGTCACAGTAGGACCAGTCAGGGGCTCTGTCAGCCCAGGCTCAGAAGCAGGGGCAGTGCGATGGAGAGGAGGGGCTGGGGTTGAGGATTTTGAAAGAAGCAGAATGGCTTGGATTTGGTGACACATGGCTGTGGGGACAGCAGGATGACTCTAAGCAGAGTTTCTAGTCCATGAGCCTGGGTAGACAGCAGTGCCATGGCCCAAGCTTGGGGATTCAGAGGAGGGGCAGCCAAGGTGCTCAGAATCGTCCTGTTTGGTTTGAGAGGCTGTGGGGCCAGTTGGGAGCTAAGAGGAGAGCAGCTGGAGGTAGAGGTTTGATGCTTAAGAGAAAGATCCACATTTGGGAGTTTTCACCCTATAGGTAGCAGCTTTAAGGGAGAGGGCAGAAATCAGGGTGTCAGCATCTGTAGGTAAGGGAAGGAACAGCCAGAGACTTGGAGGCGATTGAGGGCATGAGTGTGTCCTGAAGGAGAGAGGTTGAGGAAGGAGTGAATGATGAACTGTCTCGGGTGTTGGCAAGAGGTCATGGGAGGTCAGCGACCAGAAGTGGCAGCTGGATTTTGCCACAAGGAGGCTTTGATATCTGTGGCTGTGCTACATGGGGGCGAGGGCACAGGAGCCAGGTCACCTGGAGTTGAGTTTGAACTTGATCTGTTTATTCTCTGCTGTGTCCCTAGTTTCTCTGATATCTGGCATACAGCAAGTGCTAAAAAAACACGTGTTGAATGAATGAATGAATGAAAGAAAGAAAGTGAGAAAATCAGGATGGAGCGTGGGAAGAGTTGAGCATGGAGCGGGACGGAAATTTGTAGGTAGAGCAGGGAGTTGCAGGCTTTCCTGTCTGGTGGCTTCCATCTTCTCTTGGAAAAGGAGGCAAAGTGATGGGCCAGAGCAAGGGGAGAGAGGGTGGGCTGACAAGACCTGGGGGAGGTGCTGAGTTGCAGGGAAGAAGGTTGGGACTTCGGAGGGCGTGGACAAGCAAGAGACTAGAACCCAGGGTCTAGGCCAGTTGGGACTGGGAGTAAAGGTTTAGAGACGGACAGATTGGAGGACAGTGGTGGCATGTGGGAGCCCAGAGAGCTGAGAGGGAGGATCTGGCTTTGGTGGGGGCCCAGGAGGCTGTGAATTCCTTACAGGTGGTGGTTTGTCCGTCTCCATGTCCCCAGAGGGCCTCTGCCAGAGGGAGGTTTAGGATGTGAATTTAGGAATTTGGAGGTGGGCTTGGTAGGGTGCTGACTTGGTCAGGGGTGTCTGGAGTCAATGGTAGGGAACCTAGACATCAGGCTCTGCCTCTCCTGGGGGATGGATGCCTTGGCCCCGGACTTCTGGCCTCTTGCCTTTGTGTCATTCCTTGGTCTAGAAAGAACCCACCCATGGCTCCCTGTCATCCTCACAATGAACTTTCATGGTCCTAATGGATGTTTGGACACGAACAGCGACTGCACTAAACACTTCCCCTGTACTATCTTCCTCCATTTTTTGCAGCAAACCTTGAAATAAGTGCTGCCTTTACTGTACTTTAAGGTTTGGGAAATGGAAGCCCAGAAAGAGCAAGTGACTTGCCTAAGGTCACTCAAAACACAGAGGTGGCAGAGCTGGGATTTAGAGCCCCACAGCTCACACTCCCCACCTCTGGGTTCTGTGGCCACGACAGTCCAGCCTGGCAGCCCGGTCCTCCTGGGCCTCTCTGTAGTTTCATCCTTGCCTCTTCCCACTTAAGGGTTCAGGCTCTCGATCCAGACCTGCTTGTTTTATGACCTGGCTCCACTGCCGTGTAATAGGTATGAACCTGGTGTAAGTCTCTTAACCTCCCTGGGCCTGATTTTCCTTAATTCTAAAGAGGAGATGATGATAATAGTGTTTACCTTCTAGGGCTGTTGTGACATTAGATGCTTAATGCATAGAATGGTAGCAGCACATAGTAAACCCTCAGTAAACACGAGTTATTAGTGCTGGAGTCACTGTCATCATTCTCATTATTAAGATGAGATTATGAATTGCCCTTTGTTCCTGCTGCATGAGGTCCTCAGAGCTCTCCATTTGCTCTCTGTTCCCTGGGCTGGACACTGGCTCTTCCCCACCTGGAACTCGCAGCATCTTCTTCCCTGCCCTCACCAGAATAACTACTGCTTCCCTTAAAGTCTCAGATCAGGCATCATCTCCCTGAGAAGCTCCCCACCCAAGTCCTCTCTGTGACTCTTACCACGTCCCTTGTCACCTCAGGTACTATATACTTGGCTTTCTCTCCCCTGACTTTTGATTGCCCCATGCCTGGACACATAGTATCAATAGGGCCCTCGGTGACTGTTGGCTGTTACTCTGAGGTTTAAACCCAGTATCCTGGTCATCCAAGGGGCAGGGACAAATTAACTCCAGCCAAGAAAAGTCAGGAGAGACTTCCTGGAAGAGGAGGCACTGGAGCTGAGCCCTGAAGGATCTGGGTTGGTTGGCATTTCCAGCAGAGGCGCACATGTGCCAAAGTGTGTTGGCACCAGACAGCGTGTCTCTATAGGCAGGCAGGTGGTTTGGCCTGGCTCTTGTGGAGTATGATACAGAAACAGTTAGTGGCCTGTGTACCCTCAGGGGAAAGGGTTACTTTATACCCACGGACGATCCAGGAGGGCTTCAAGGTATTGGCGGCAGTTGAAATAGAACTGAAGACTGGGTAGGAGTGAACAGGGAGAGATTTTGGATGGAGCAGGATTTCACTGAGTGGAAGGAGAAAAGGGGCAGGACCTGGGGGCAGAAGATGGGTTGAAGGTAGTTTGTTCTTGTTTTTTTTTTCTTTTCCTTTTTAGAATTGGAGTGATTTGAGTGAATGGAACCAGGAGAGGGAGAGGCTAGAGTGCCAGAAGAGGGGAAAGTGGTAGGAAGTGGCAGGTGGGACAGAGGGGTGGAGTTGTTCAGATTGAAGCCTTAGTGTCTGTGCTTCCAGCTTTCCCTAAAATGTCATCCAGGAGTTCCGGAGTGTGCCTGGCAGTTGTAAGTGGCACAAAAACATAGCTTAATTCTTCTATTAGTTTTGAAACAGAAGTGTCTCCATTGGGTGCTATTATATCTTTAACACCTTTCTGATACTTAACTCCCTGTTTAACAAAAATAGTCTTTAGATGGTAGCCTAAAGCCACGACAGCATCTGGCTGGAATTTAATAACCCTGCTCTGGTTTTATTGTGTTCATTTCTAAGGTTAACACATTTATGTAAAACAATACTGGTTTTAAGTGCAAAGAGGGGATCAATTTAAAGATAAAGTCATGTTCTGCAGGTAAGTGGAGAGCAAATGACTGGAGTTTGGGGATCACTGCTCCAAGCCCAGGGCTTCTTGAAGGGAAAGCCTTCAGAATGAGGGGTGGGAGGGAGGTAAGATACAGCTTCCTGGATTGCTCCCCACCCCTGCTGCTGCTGACACAGTTCATCCAGCCCAGTGGGAATTTCCTGCCGTGCCTTTGAACCACTGCACTAGAAGAGACTTTTCAGACTGAGTCTTGAGGAACTTTAGTGTCCCACAAAGTATTAGTAGATGACCTTGGGAGAGATGAGGAAATATTCCTTGGTACAATAAGTTTGGGGAGCTTTTCTCCAGACTAGTCAAGGCTCTCAAAAATGCTGGAATCAGGAAACCCGTTAACTTGGTTCAGGTCTCATTCATCTTTGTAGTTTAAATACCTGGGACCTACCAGCCCTTCACTAAGCATTAAGTGAGTGAATATGAGAAGCCATAAGTTAGGTGTGATGTAGGGGATGCTCCTTGGATGCTTTGAGTGGTTCACACTGGCTTGGCATCATCCATTCATTTGAGAGATGTGCAACAAGTCACGTACCATGCACCTGGCATGGTGCTGGGCACTGGGGATGCTGAGGGGAAGAAGCCAGAGCTGCCTTTGTGGAGTCTACATTCTAGTTGGAGGAACACAGTAGTCAAAGAGGAATGAGGGCTGTCAGTCAAGCCTTGGGCAGCTGGTCGTCAGGATGGGGCAGAAATTGGGAGAGGAGCTAAGTGCCCACAGCCACCATAACTTAGCGAGAAGCCCAAGGTGCTTCGGATCCATTTGTCACTCCCTCAGATACAGTGTGTAGGGGTGTGTGTATGTCTTTGGCAGAGAGCTTTAGAAGCTGTAATGCCTGCCAACTACAATGACCCTTTTTGATCTTATGGCAACCCTATAGACAGGCAGAGTCTGGGCTATCATCTTCATGTAATAACCAGAGAGAAATGGACTTGCCCAAGGTCCCACATCTAGTTAGTGCTGGAGCTTAGCCCCAAACCCAGTGCTCTTGGCCTGGGTCCTGGGGCTTCCTCCTCACCCACCTTGGTCTTGTATGGACCAAAAGAGAGCTGGGGTGAACCGTTGAGTGTGGGGAGGCTTATAGGCTCCCTGAGAGCTGAGGACTGAGGTCTCTGTCTCCCTCTTGTGGCCGGCAGGTGCTACGACAAGCGTCTGTGGCCACGAATGGACCTGAGCCGTCGAAAGTCACTGACCCCGCCCATGCTTAGTGGTGTGGTTCGACGCCAGCCTCGAGCCCTGGACCTCAGCTGGACAGGTGTCTCCAAGAAGCAGCTCATGTGGCTTCTGAACCGACTGCAAGGTAGTGCTGGGTGGTGAGGCGGGACAAGGTGAGGAGAAGGACAAATCTGGGACGGAGCCCTCCTAGCACATTTCCCAACCCACCCCTCCCCAGGCCTGCAGGAGCTGGTGCTCTCTGGCTGCTCCTGGCTCTCTGTCTCTGCCCTGGGCTCTGCCCCACTGCCAGCCCTGCGGCTTCTGGACCTCCGCTGGATCGAGGATGTTAAAGACTCCCAGCTCCGCGAGCTGCTGCTGCCTCCGCCAGACACCAAACCAGGTACAGACTCTGTTGGCTCATTTGTAGAAGGGGTTGGACAGGTTAGGGTATGAGGCCTCCAAGGTCTCTTCTGACTCATGCTGGGTGTTAAAGGATTTGAAGAAAGGACAGAACACATGAATTTGAATAGAAAGGCGTTGCTTGGCCATTATTCACTGATTCAGTCCCCTGCTGTGGGCCCTGCCATAGGAGCTGAGGGAATGGGATGAGGAGGATGACACTGAATTCTGGGAGAAGCCAGGGGATTCCGAGTGAGGTCTCTGTGTGCGGTGGGCAGTACTGGAGAGCATTCTCCAAAGGGAGCAGCGGTAACTGCTGTGAAAGAATGTGGCCCAGTGTAGCTAGTCAGTTCCATTTGTCAAAAGGAGCCGGAAATACGGATTTTCTGTGACATAGCCTGGTTTTTAAATGATGGCAGTGAATTCATATCTTTTATTTATTTATTTATTTTCTTGCTGGGGAAGGGTGATAAATAGGTTTATCTATTTATTTATTTACTTACTTGCGTGTGGCAGTACTGGGGATTGAACCCAGGACCTCGTGCATGCTAAGCATGCACTCCTACCACTGAGCTCTCCCCTCAGATTCTTTTAAAATTCATGTGTGAACCCAGCAAAAATATGACTGAGCAATAATAATACATTTGGCCCCTGGGTCCCCTTGCTCTACAGTAAAAGGTTAAGGATTTTCCTGAGGGAGCAGAGCAGATGGAGGGAGCCAGTTGACGTGGAAGGTTGTGGGGAGATGGTGGTTTCATTCCCAACTCAGACTAGCCACCTCTTCCCCCTAGTCAGGCCCAGGTACCCTGCCAGGTAACGTCAGCTTTATTGTTGCACACATACTATGGGCCCCACCCTGTGTGGGGCCCCAGAGACCTCAAACTGAATCAGCCCCATTCCTCACCCTGGTGGAACCCCAGTCATGCAAGAGAGAGACTCTGAAGTAGAAGGTTATGGCGTGAGAAGGGCTGTGGTTAAGGGGAGAGTAGGGGCAGGAGGGCAGTGAGAGAAGCCCACCTGGAGGGGGTGCTCTTTCAACTGAGTCCTGAAAGGGACAGGATTTTCCCAGGGAATGTGAGGCAAGAATTAACAGTTTTGTGGGGCGTGGCTCCCATATTGGCAGAGGGGGACACTGGCAACTGAGGCTGGTCAGGTGAGCACCAGCCTGGTCCCTTGGGGGGTCATATGGAGGTGTAGGGTAGGGGTACTGAGGCCTGGTGGTCCTTGTCTGACTCTCACCAGGAGATAGGATGCTCACAGCATCTTCTCTGGCCCCCACCAGTCTGTTCTCCATAATGAAGCCAGGGGAACTATCCACTGGGCAGATCTGTCCATGTCACCTCTGTGCTCCACACTCGTTCTCATTGCTCCCTGGTGCTCCTTAGGTAAAGATCAGTATTTTATCGATAAGGCCTGGTCTGGCTTCCATTGACCTATGCTGACCTTCCATTTCGGCCACTTCATACTCCTTGCCAAGTTTCCTCTAGCCCTAAGACCTTTGCCCACTCCTCTTTCATGGAATGCTCTCTTCTTCATATAATGAATACCTAATGACCCTTCAGGCCTCAGTGTAAATGCCACTTCCTTCTAGAAGCCCTCCGTGATCTTCTCCCCCACTGAGATTAGAGTCCCTCTTCCAGAGAGCAGTCCCCTCCCAGCATATCACTGTACAATTGTGAAGTGATTTGATTAAAATCCATTTCCTCCCAGAAGCTTCTTGCGCTCTGTGAGGGCAAGGACTGTCCACCCCAGCACCTTGCTTCATAGCTCTCTTTCATAGCTCCTGTCTTCCTACCCCATCCCCCTCCACAGCAGTCTTGGAAGGTGGGGTAGAGAAAGAACTAGGATTCTTCCCATTTTCTGGATGAGGCCCCAGAGGTCTAGAGGGGTTGAGTGACTTCTGCAAGTCACACAAGCAGAGCCAGACCAGAGCATGCACTCATTGCCCACTCATACTGAGCACTGGGACTAGCACATGCCATGAGGTGAGAAAGTGCTGCTTGGCTGGCAGACTGGCTCCATCTCCTTCTGCCTGAGTTCAGTTCAGTCTAAGCCCCTTTATCAGGAGCTTGCAAAGATCAGCCTTGAAGGTCCTCAAGGCCCAATGTGCTCACTGGGACTCTACACCCACCTTTATCATCTTGGCTCCCTGGCTTTGTGCAGCATTCCTGGAGCAAAACTGAAAGTTTGCCTACTTCCTTGCTTTCTCCCCTGCTGTCCTCTGCCTGGCTGCCCTTCCCTCCCGCGCTCCTCCTCTGCACGTTCAAATCCTCGCAGGCCCTCCTCAGTGAAATCCTTGCTGATGCCCATTTCTCCTGCCCAAGCCACAAGTGACCTCTCTTTCCCCCTGTTTTAGCTGTGGCCCAGGGTGGAGGGCGTTGGTAGATATATCCCCTCTCCAGGCTCTTAGCTGCTCAAAAGGAAAAAAAGAGGGACAGAATTAAGAGCTTGCCAAGGCAGGTGCCCGCAGAGGTGGCCTGGGAGATTACAGAAGTGGTGGGCTTGGTGCGGGACATTAGCAGGTACACCTTGCCACCCGGCATTGCCAGGCGATGCCAGATTGTACAGTTTTTCAAGGAAAACCTCCATATTTAAATTTCTTTATTAAAAAAGTCCTTTTTTGTAACATTATTCATGAAAAAAATTTGTAGCATTATGCAGACTCTATAAAACTTGTGTAGGTTATTTCCATGACTTGGTGACATCTAATCTAGTTTATCTAGAGGCTAGGCTGGTGCCTGGGAAGCAGATAGCGTTGTGGGAAGAGTTAGGACTTAGAGTCACAAGACATGGTGTCCTGGCTCTGTTAATTCATAGTTATGTGATCCTGGCTAGATTTCTTGATGATTTAAGCCTCAGTTTTCTGATCTGTAAATAGGAATGGTGATCAGAGAACTTGTCTCCCAAAGCTGTGATTCTTAAAGTGTGGTCTCTGGACCAGCAGTGTCCACATCACTGGAGAACTTGTTAGGAGAATAAACTCAGGCCCTGCCTAACTCTGGGGGTGGGGCCAGCAGTCCATTTTAACCAGCTCCCCAGGGGGTTGCAGAAGCCCCTCTAGTTGAAGAGCCACTGGCTGAGGGGCAAGCAGCTACTCAGCCGGTGCTCGGCCCACTGTGAGCACTCACTCAGGGGCTGCTGCTACATCAGAGGCATTGAGTTACACAAACCACAGTGCTGAAAGGTGGGAGCTCTTCTTCCCCAGAGATGGAGGAAGAGGAGGCCTCTGAGCTCAGACCTGAAAGCCAGGGACCCTGGCCAGGCAGGGGATTGAGCACCGGTGGTCACAGGCAGAGTCTCTCAGGGCAGGGTTGCCTGTGGAGTTTGGCCCAAGTGTTTGGGAGTCAGGGAGAGGAATTCGGAGACAGGGGCAAGACTTTGTGGGAACTGGGTTGTTCTACCAAGAAAATCGGACTTCTCTGAGGTGTCCTCAGAGTTTTTAGCAGAGGAGGGATGTAGTCACATTTGGGTTTGAGAATGGCTCTCTTAGGATGCCAGGAAAAAGAGGAGAGACCCGAGTGAGTGAGGCTGCTGGGGCAGGAGTTCAATCAAGAGTGATGCTGACCCAGTGGTGACCAGGGGATGGAGAGAAAGGGAGCCAGATGGGAACTTGCCTAATTATGGAAGGAGTGGGATGTGGGAGAGGAGCCTACTGGGATGGCAGTCTGGTTAGGGATGTCATTTGCTGAATGAATGACTATATCTTTGTTTTTCCCATTTCATTATTTTAATGCAAATCCCAGATGTTATACCATTTTATCCATAAAGACTTCAGAGATCAGATAATGACTTGCCCCCTCCTTTTAAAAAATATAAATGCCAAACCATTGTCACATCTAAAAATATTAACAAAATTTCTTTATATGATCTAATATGAAGTTAATGTTTAAATTTCCTCAGTTTTCCCATAGTTTAATTTTATAATTGAATTGTTTGGATTAGGATCCAAGAGTCACTGTATCTTGAGCACCTTTGTCCCAATTGCTGGGCATAGAGCAAGAACAAGACAGACAAAAATTCTTGCCTTCATGAAACTGATACTCTAGTGAGAGAAGAAAAAAAAAGTAATGTGTCAGATGGTGAGGAAGAAGGGAAAAAATGGTGGGAAGGGGTTTGGGTATGTGGAATGTTATGGTTTCAAACAGAGTAATCATGGAAGGCCTCCCTGAGGAGGCAGTGTGAGCAATGGACAGATGAGATAAAGTCAGGTTGTGTGGGGTTTGGGGAGAACAAGCCACAGGCCACGCAGAGAATGCAAGTCGAGGCTTCGTTATAGTGGCAGCAGATTTAGGGAGTGGTGACGAATGTGTGATGAGACACACATTCTGGTGTGGGGATGGGAGCAGCTGGAGTGTTGACCTCTTCTCTGCCTGCCCAGGGCAAACGGAGAGCCGAGGGCGGCTGCAGGGAGTAGCAGAGCTGCGCCTGGCAGGCCTGGAGCTGACGGATGCCTCCTTGCGGCTCCTCCTGCGCCATGCACCCCAGCTGAGCGCCCTGGACTTGAGCCACTGCGCCCACGTTGGGGATCCCAGCGTCCACCTCCTCACGGCCCCCACCTCCCCTCTCCGAGAGACCCTGGTCCACCTCAATCTCGCTGGTAAGCATGGTCCCAAGTCTGTCTATCCTGCTAGCCTCTTGGTCGCTGTAGTCAGTGCCTACCTCCCTCCCACATTCCTGGTCTCAGCTCCCCTTACCCCATCCCCAGGTTGCCACCGCCTCACGGACCACTGCCTCCCGCTGTTCCGCCGCTGCCCGCGCCTACGCCGCCTAGATCTACGCTCCTGCCGCCAGCTCTCACCTGAAGCTTGTGCCCGGCTGGCAGCTGCCGGGCCCCCTGGCCCCTTCCGCTGCCCAGAGGAGAAGCTACTTCTCAAGGACAGCTAGTTGGGTGCCCCCCACCCTCCCCCAGGACTCATCAGGAGCCTGGACCTCAGGCCTTCATTTCACCCCTGCCGGGAGGCCAGGTTACCCACCTCATGACTTGGGATTCCTGAGTTTTATGACTTAGGATTTCTGCCCAGAGACTCGAGCCAGCCTCCCCTTCTCTGCCCCCTGCACTGATATCTCTGGGGGTCTCTCTTTCCCATCCCCTCCCCCTTCCACCTGCTTCATTGTCCATCCCCTGGGGGGAGTGGGTCAGAGGTACTGGGGGTGCTGAGCCAAAGGGATGGTGGGAGGGGGGTTGAGGTGCAAGTTTGAGGGAGGGAGAATGGGGAAAGGGTATCTGCACACAGGATACTGGGACCCAGAGGGCTGGGGGAGGTAGAGGATGGGCTAGGGGGTGGGAGGGTGGGCAGAAATCAAACCACCAAGGGTTCAGGGAACAAAGACCAGATACTTGGAGTTGGGGTGGGTGGGGTGGGGGGCCAAAAAGGGAAACCAGAGGAGCAGTTGGGGATCCAGGTGTCAGAGATGAGGGGACTCGGGGAACTAGGGGAAAGCCAGGGCTGAGTGAGGGGTGGGGAGCAAGAGCAGGTGTGGGGGTGGTAGTACCCTCTTGGGGTCACTCCTCTTCCTTACTCCCTCCCCAGATTTCAGTTCCTTCCCCCCAACCCTGACTCCTTGAAATGTCACTGACAATGGCAGCTATTGTGAGGAGTGGGGGCTGCGGGCCTACCTGCTGTTCAGCGCGGCCCTGGGGAGTGGTGAGGGGTACCCCAGCCCCCTACCTGCCTCCCCGCACTATACTTGAACATTCATCTGTACTGAAGTGTTACTTGAACCGGGGTAACCTCGGACCTGGGGGAGCCGGAGCGTGAGGGGACGGGACCAGCTTGGACTGAGACTGGACCGGTGGGCACCCAGTTTGGACTGTACCACCCACCCCCAGGCTCTCTTGCTTTACTGTATTGAGCAGCTCCACCCGTCCTGACCTGAGGTGGGGTGGGGGGTGTGTCAGCCCAATGATGGGGAAGATGGGACTCCTCCAGCTTGGCTAACCCACTCTTTCATCGTCATGGAAACTTGTATCCCATTTGCCCAGGGAACTGCCACTCCTGGTTGCCATGGAATTAGCAGCCAATGGACACCTCCCAAAGCCAGTGCTAAGGCTGGAAATGGCCCCTCTTAGTTGCTATGGGAACTTAGTAACAGACTGTTGGCCCTCCCCGGCCCCTTCCTCCACTGCGGGGGCGGGATTTGGGAGTCAGGAGGAGGAGTTGGGGCCAGGTCCCGCTCCTCAGCCCAGGCCTCCCTGGGGAGCCAGGTTGTACCATGTAGGGGAGGGGGGGAACTCTATCCACATACCTCAGGTAACAGGGAGGTGCGAGGGTGGGGGGAGGGACTGGGCGGACCAAAGGCCAGAGGGGTGGGGTCCTGGGGATCGCGAAAGGCTTGAGGATGGGGCCGCTTGTGGGAGGAGAATGAGGCAGTCCGGCGGGGGGCAAATGGGGGACCCAGCCGGGCTGGGCCCCTGGGCCCCAGGTCTGTACAATACGGTTTGCTATAAAACTCAAAATCTTCCAGCCGGGGCCGCTGAGTTCGTGTGTCTGTCTTCGGCGTAAGTGATGTGGGGGTAGGGTGGGGATGACCGAAGTGTTAAACCTTTGGGGCTTTGGGCGAAGGTGGAGGTGGGGGTGCTGTTTGGGTGCAACTAGGGTAACTAGGTCCTACTAGGCTTCTCGAAAGTGAGGTTGCAGGGCCCCCTGTGGTTCCTACAGATGGATGGGCTCACTTCCTTGAGTTCACTGTTTTGGTAGGGTTTGGAGTATGGACTTTGGAGGTGTCCAGGTGTACTTGAGTGGCTCAGGGCCCAGGAACTCCCAGTCACTGGCCAGGGTTGGGCGTTCATCTCTGCGGGGCTTGGGCGCCTAGATGACTTTCTAGGGAGACTAGGGTGAGGGTCCCTTGGGATCTCTGCCGACGGTCCCCCGGCTCCACCCCATCATGTGGCGCTCCAGCTCCAGCTCCGCCTCCGCCCCAGTTCCTGTTTCGGCCTCGGCTGTCCTGCTTCAGCCCCTAGGGCTCCCCACAGACGCTTGCTCTTCCTGCTCCGCCCGGGCCACCTCTTCCTGGGCGCTCGCCGCCCACATCCCCGCTCACCCCGCCGGGGCATGGGGCCTTACTCCGGCCTGGAACGGCCCAGCTGGGGTCCCCAGGCGATTCCGCCCCGCCTTGACCGGCCAGCCCGCCTGGTGCCGCGGCCCCCAGGATGAAGGGCGGCGAGGGGGACGCGGGCGAACAGGCCCCGCTGAACCCGGAGGCCGAGAGCCCCGCGGGCTCGGCCACGTACCGGGAGTTCGTGCACCGCGGCTACTTGGACCTCATGGGGGCCAGTCAGCACTCGCTGCGGGCGCTCAGCTGGCGCCGCCTCTACCTCAGCCGGGCCAAGCTCAAAGCCTCCAGCCGCACGTCTGCCCTGCTCTCGGGCTTCGCCATGGTGAGGGGAGGGATGGGGCGCACGGGGTGGGGGTGAAGCACATGGGGGGCACAGGTCGTGGGCGAAGTGAACGGGTACCCAAGGGAGACAGGGCAGAGGGAAGGGAAAGACCGGTTTTTAAGAGGTAAAAGAGGGGCACAAACAAGATCCCAAGGGAATTACACAAATGTGTGTATGTGTGTGTGTGTGAGAGAGAGAGAGTGAGTGAGTGAGAGAACAGGCACTCAGCATAATCTGGGCCATAGGGAGGATAAATAAATCCTAAGGGTTTCATGGGGGACACATGTCATGGGGGAAGACAAATCACTAAGGTGGATACATTTGCAGGGATAGAGCAGAGGTCCAAAAGGAGCATAGTCCAGCAGAAGTGGTTACCAGATCCCCAGGAGAGGTTCAAAAGCAAATAGGAGCTGGATGGGGGCTGTATAAACAGGGCTGGGGGGCAGGGTAGGATGGGGAGTTCAGAGAATAAATTGGATAGAGTGGTCACCCAACAGAAGGTGGGCCTGTGCCAAGGAGGGTGGCCAAGCCCCAGCAGACACAAAGAGTGCTTAGTGTAGCCCAGGAAAGATTTGACGAGAGAGGATGCCTGCGAAGGAGTCCCTAGGGGAAGAAGCTGTTTAGGAAGATGATAATTGATTCTGGAGATGATAAACTCCAAGTGTGGGCAGATGATGTCAGCTAACGGTCCAGCAGGGGCCTCATAGGAAGTGGGACTGAGGGAGGTCCCAGGGTGAGGAGGAGTCAGCAGACATAAGTCCTGGCTCCTTCCTGCTTGTGGTCAGCTGTGTGACCCTGGACAGGCTTCCACCCCCTCACAGGCCAGTGGGAAATTGTGAGATCATGGAGGGTGTGCCCTCCGTAGCCTGCCAAGTACCCACCCCAAGATGAGCTGATTCTTGTCATCAAACGCTAGATCCAAGCATGTCAGAGCAAGACATACAACAGGGATGGCTCAGACTACCTGTTAATTGGACATTCATGGAAACCAAGGCCCAAAATGGGGCAGTGGCTCTGCCAAGAACACTCAGCAGATGAAGGATATAGGATGAACTAGGACCCAGAGCTGCTGAACTGTTGGTCCAGAGTTTCCCATTGTCATAATAGGAAAAAGGAGAAAATGGGCTGGAGGGGAGTCCTCATAGAAACGTGAGGAGCATATCAAGATGGGGATAAAAGGGGCCATAGCACTAGGTGGTTTGGGTTAGTCCCTGACCCTCTCTATGCCACAGCCTCTGTATTTGAATGAAGAGAGGGAAAGTTTCTATATCTAAGGGTCAACCTAGGTCTATGGTTTTCTATGTGGGATCCACAGGCCAGCGCACCCTTCCTGATGTGGCGTCATCTCAGGACAGGGAGCTGGCTCCCCTTCACCTGTACAGACTGCAGAGGGAAGGGAGCAGCCCTGTGGACCTAGCTGAGGGAGGTGCCCCACCCCCACCTCTCCATGGTCCAGCCTGTTCCCAAGGGGACAATTGGGCCTGCTGCCCAACTTGCAGGTTGCTGGGGTGACAGCTTAAGGGCCAGGATCTCTGCAGGATCAAGAGGCCAGATGAGTAAGTTCTGGGGGCAGGACTGGCCCCAGTCCTGCCAGAGGACAGCAAGACTGGGTCAGACTCTGGAGGAAACCAGGACTAGGCGTGGCCCAGATCCCTGTCGGTAGAAAACATCTGCTAACACCCGCCATGGCCCAATTTCCCAAAATACTCAGACTTGCCTTCTTACCACTACTACCTACACCCCTGCCCCAGCTCTGTACCTTCCTCCTTCCCCCAGCCCCAAAGTAATCTAATGGATCCTGCAAGAACCAGGCATGGGGAAAGATCCAGATTCTGGAATCCAGGTGACCTGGGTTAGAATAACATTATACCAATTATATTGAACTATCACTAAGTACCAGGCACTATGCTAAGGCTTTCCTGTATATCATCTTTCTTTTATCCTATGAAGCAGGTACCACTACTGTGACCATTTTACAGATGAGAAAACTGAGGATCAGGGATATTAAGACACCTGCCCAGGGTTCCACAGCAAGTAAGTGGCAGGATTGAATTTAGGCAGTCCGCCTCTAGAGTCTAAATTTATACAAGCCTAGAACAGGATCATCAACTCAGATGTTTGCAAAGGCCACACAGGCAGTACGGATGCCAAGTCGGCTGGGTGGGGACTGTGGCTATCAAGAGACCCCCATGACCTATCCAAAGGGAGCAGCTATGCCTCATAACTCTAGCTGAGAGCTGTCATGCGAGAATGTGGGCTTGGCATAACTAGATCTTCCACATTTTCAAGAGGCTCTGGAAATAGGGATATTTATATGACATCTTGAGTTTTAGGAAATGGCAACTTAATTCTTTAAAATACACACTGTTTGAGCCATGCAAAACATGTTTGCAAGCTGGCTTGGATTCTTGGTGTGCCAATTTGCAAACTCTGGCCTTGGACTTTAGCATTAACTCTAATAGTAACAGCAAACACCTGAACATACTCTGGGCCTCATGTTATTCTTATCACTTGACGGATATTATCTCATTAAATTTTCACAACAACCCAGTAAGTCAGGTAGGTGCTGTTACCAATCTTTATTTTTCCAGATGAGGAAATTGAGGCACAGAGAGAACTAAACCACTTGCTCAAGATTACACAGCTGAAAATGAACCCAGACTGCCCCACTCCAGAATCTTTTTTAACCCCTATGTTATAACGAGATAAGACCGTCAGAAACATAGATCCAACAACAAGGTCTTACTGTATAGCACCTATATTCAATACCTTGTAATAGCCTATAATGAAAAAGAACATGAAAAGGAATACAACTGAATCACTATGCTGTACACCAGAAATTAATAAACATTGTAAATTGACTATAGTTCAATAAAAAAAAATCATCAGAAAGCCTTCCAGCCCTCTTGATAGCCAAGTGGGGAAACTGAGGTCCAGAACAGGACAGAGCCTTACCAAGCCTTCCGATTCATTCACTCAACTAAGACTTGGTGCTTTATGTCTGCCAAGCACTGTTCTAGTCTTAGGGATACATCAGTGATGTATACCAACAGGCAAAAAAACCCTCTGCTGTTGAGGTTATGGGCACTCAATCCATCCCCTCTTATCTCCACAGGTCGCCATGGTAGAGGTACAGCTGGAGAGCAACCACGAATACCCGCCGGGGCTGCTGGTGGCCTTTAGTGCCTGCACCACCGTGCTAGTGGCTGTGCACCTCTTTGCACTCATGGTCTCCACGTGTCTGCTGCCTCACATTGAAGCCGTTAGCAACATCCACAACCTCAACTCTGTCCACCAGTCTCCACACCAGCGACTCCACCGCTACGTGGAGCTGGCCTGGGGCTTCTCCACTGCCTTGGGCACCTTCCTCTTCCTCGCTGAAGTTGTCCTGGTTGGCTGGGTCAAATTTGTGCCCATCGGGGCTCCCTTGGACACATCGGCCCCCATGGTACCTGCCTCCCAGGTGCCTGGGACTCTGCCACCAGTGGCCACCTCCCTTAGTCCAGTTTCCAAGCCATCCTCTGCTTCTGTAGCCCCCTCACAGGCTGAGCCATCTAGGGCCTGCCCACCTCGGCAAGTATGTGGCGGTGGTGGGGCCCACGGACCAGGCTGGCAAGCAGCCATGGCCTCCACGGCAATCATGGTACCAGTAGGGCTTGTGTTTGTGGCCTTTGCCTTGCATTTTTACCGTTCCTTGGTGGCACACAAGACAGACCGCCACAAGCAAGAGCTGGAGGAGCTGAGTCGCCTGCAGGGGGAGCTGCAGGCTGTGTGAGGCTGGTGTTAGCCACAGCTGCGAACACTGCCTCCCTCAGGGCTCGGCCAGAGGCCTCAGGTCTACAGACCCCACTCCCTGCTTGGAGCCGCTTTCTGTGGTCACTAAGGTGGAGAACAGATTCCTGCCTTCAAGGTCCTTTGGGCTGGGCCTTGGGGCAGCTCCCACATTCCCAGGGATTTTCCTTGTCCCATGGCTTTTATAAGTTCTACCCTACACCTGGGCTGGGAGGAGCACGAAAAGATCCTCAGTCCAAGCCTCATGCGGTAGGTAGAGGGGCAGCAGGGAGACCCTGGTCAGACCTTTGGTGCTGACCCTCAGCCACTTGTTCCTATACAGGATGTGGAAGTCATAAGGTTACGCATCCACCCAGCTGCTGCAGAAGGCAGCCAGTCCTTACTTTTGTAGAATCTATTTTATGGTTGGTTTCTTTTTTTCTTTTTTTGGAAGCTTTTCCCCATTCTCAGATTTTGATGGGTTCCACACACTTGCTTTGGTTTCCATAGAGAGGGCTTTGGGTGTTTCTACCCCAGGCATGGGTCCAGGCTTTCCAAGGAGGAGCCTCCCTATTTGGAGGAGGTTCAAGTGCCTGCCCCACTGCCCTAGACCGACACTTATCCTTCTATATCTGGTTCTCACTCTCCTGGTCCAGGGCTGGGGCATAGCAGCCTGACTCCATAGCAGGGGTTGGGGTGAGAAGGTTGTAAGGGAGAAGGTCCAGTCCATAGCCCTTGGAATACAGAGCTATTCTGACACTGAATTTTTGATGTACCTGGTTTTGTATAATAAATTGTGTTTCACACATGTCCTTGTGGCTGTGAATGGGAAGAGGGGAGACCTCCTTGGGAACAGGTGACTTGTTTCTAAGAGTTCAAGTGGAGGCAAGTGTACCTGGGAGTAGGACAGGGGTGGAAGAGACTGGGTTCCAGGTATGACCCCCTTCTGGTGCTGACAGGGGCCAGGAGCTTCTGAATGTGGAGACTGAGTTATTCTAACGCTAAAGGCTTTTGCATTTTTGTTCCTGGGTCTCTCTCTTCCACTGAGGATTTTAGTATAAGTTTCTTTAGTGTAAGTTTCTTCCTTGAGTGATTACTACGTACTAGAGGCTTCTCATGGGTAATCTTATTTAACTCACTTAACTTATTTAACAATCACATCAGGAGACAAGTATTTATCGGTATCATTTCAGAGATAAGGAACCTTTGGCCTAAGAAGGCTGAGGATCTTACCCAAAACCACCCAGCTTGTCAGTGAAAACTTGGACTACCTTTACCATCACCTTGGGAATCTTTCTGTTTGAGAACAGGAAGCAGTATCTTTCAACTGGGATGAGAGAAAGGTATCTATCTCATCACTCACGCTTCTATTGTATATTTATTTTTCAGCCTCATTTTCCTTAAAATTGTAAAGGGTCCTATTCCTCTCTCAGGATACTTTTTGAACCAATCCCTCTTTTCCTATTACTTAAAATTGTAAATTTACATGAACTAGGTCTCAAGGGCCTCTCCCCACATTGTTTTAATGCCTACAATAGTCCTGCATGGCAGTAATTAATATCCATTTAAAAAGAATCTGAAGGTTTAAGAGGTCAATGACTTGCCCAAGGTCATACATCGAGGACTGATGTCTGGAACCCAGGGCATCTTCAGTTCAGGCAGAGGGGCCTCCTGGGACTGCTGTTATCCAGAGACTAGGATGACTGTGTCCAAGTGTGAGTAGAAGGTGGGCCCCGCCTCAGGGAGATCTCAGTCTCAGGGCCCCGTTTAAAACTGGGCTGGTGCTGCCCTCGAGCGGCAGGACTGCGTTAGCGAGGAGGGACAGGGGTTGCGTAGCCAAAAAACACCACCGGGACCATGGTGCCTGTGGAATCGACCCGTCCGCCCTAATTCAAGTACCATCTAGTTTATCATTTTTTAAGAGGACAGGTTCAAGGGCCTTGAGGACCCACCAGGCTTGTGGCATAGCTTTAAGACAGACTAAGATTTAATCACTAAATGGTAGGCCAGTAAGGGCAAAAGGCCGCACCCTCTGGGGGCCTCAGTCTCCCCATCTGTCAAATGGGCATCTTAAACAACTAGAGGCCCAAAGTGGATAACGGGAGGAAAATGCTCCCGGCATTATGTGCGTAGCCAAACAGCCTGAGTCACGGTTATTGATAGTATTTTTCCACCTCCC